GCCCCCCCCTTCCCCCCCACCCTTCTCTGCACAGTCAGATGAGGCCCTGTCAGATCTAGCCCAGAGAGGGATTGTGCACTGCCCATCTGGCCAAAAAGTTTGAGCACCACTGTTCTAGAGTAATTAATTTAATTGTCAAATTAGTATGCTTCAGTCATGTTATCCAATAAATAATGACCTCTGATTTGGGGATGTTTGTGCCCACTTGCAGAATGTCTTGGTTTGAAGGGGAGCAAAGTGGGTGAAGATTCTGTGGAGCTTACCTGACAGCAGGATGGTTTGCTGACTTTCCTTCAGTATGCATTACTGTTGATTATATTTTCTGCCAGGGGAGAGCCAAAGACGTGGTATGGAGTGCCCTCTCACGCAGCAGAACAACTAGAGGAGGTGATGAAAGAGTTGGCCCCTGAGCTCTTTGAATCTCAGCCTGATCTCCTGCATCAGCTGGTCACCATCATGAACCCCAATGTGCTAATGGAGCATGGTGTGCCTGTGAGTAGGACAGAAGAACTTTATCCATATATGTTCTACATAGACAGTTTTGTGACAGGATTGTTTAATAATGGTTTGGAATGGAACTTAAGGACTCAGCTGGGGAGTACATTCTGGCTTAGCTCATTTAGAGCACGGCTTGCCAACCTGTGACACTCATGCCATAAGTGGCGTAGGCTGTGACAGTTTGGCTGTGACAATTTGGTTAATTTGGTCCCTGCAGAGGGCAGACATCCCTCTTTGAGGTGACACTGAGTTGTAACCTGAGTTGGATACATTCCTGAGGGAGGAGGGAAGCCTGCTCCCTCTGCCTACATGACTGGCATCACATACCTGGGTGAGGAGCTTACACTCCCTATTGTTCTAAGCAATTCTGACCTGACTGGGAGGGTGCTAGAGACCCTGCCAGTCTACCTGGCATCCAGTGATGCATTTCAAATTGGTTGGCTGGCAGCTAACGGGTGCTGGTCTCCGTTGGACCAGGTAAATGAGATCATAAGATAGGTAGATAGGTAGGTAGATAGATATAAAAAAGGACTGCCCAGGAGGAGGAGCAATAGCCATGATGAAAACTCAGAGAGAGAGAAGCTGGACCATCTGAAACTTGCTCTCTCTCTT